AAACGGTTTAACCTTACGAACAGCATACGCGAGACTCACAGTTAGATTCATTTTACAGTACGAGGCTGGTTACGAAGGAAAGCAGGTTCTTCTTTTAATAAAACGTTAATTTGGCTGGCTGGTATTCTGTTGCGAGTTACGCACATGCTAAAGTAACCAAAGATTCTGAAGCAATTAATAGCGTTGCAGCTAATTTAATTTGCAATTATTTGTACTACAAGTTCGCGAAAAGTTTCACATTCGACGAGATGATTCGAATTCTGTTTCGCGTGAAATTTTGCACGCTGCGGGTCCAAACGAATGAGAGAAATTTCATGCATGTAGAATTCCACGAGATTCTGTCCCAATTTTTTAACGAACTGTGTAATAACGAGCAGAGAATCGAAAAGAATGAGTTACACATATAGTGTTATCTGTTGATAAATTTCGTAGAGATTTAATGTCTTTTCGTTGCTTTTAATTTCAAGTGATTTTGTTCACAAATAAAAGTATTGTTCCACTTGTACATCAAAAGCGCGACAAATTTTAAGAGTACATTACAATCAAACGGAATACCCCAAGAGCTAAGGATAAAAAATTAGAGAAGCAATATTCGACCATTGTCTTTTCGTATATTTCAATATATTTAGCAGATTGTTCTTTTTATAAGCTTCCTAATAATTTTTCCTAAACAAACGTAGCTTGTTTTGTTCAAAAGATAAAGTTCGTTCGAAGTGTATTTTCCATCCTTGAATTGCACGTGTATTTCATAATAATACTTATAGATCCGTTGTATAAAGTTCTCTTCACTAACGATAAGAGGAATGCCGATTAGAAAAACACTGTACGTCATTCCGATGAATCCGTGTATAACGTATTGTCTGTGTATTGTCCAGTTTCTCCTTAGCTATCATTTTCTTGAGTTATCGCTCGTAGCGACGATAACATTCTACTTCTCAGACGCGTAATTTGTCTTCACGAATTAGGTACTCGACCGATCGGCAAAAGGGGTCAGACGTTCTTTATCTCGGACATTCCTTTCGAATCATCTGACGCAAGGAAGGTTTCGTGGCATACTTATGCACGGCAGTGGGAAGCACGTACCTTTTTCCCCACTATCGCCTATAATTTTCAAAAACGATAAGTCAAGTATTTCTCCTGGCTAGAAAGCCGGACGATCACGAGTTTCAGTTGGCAGTGTATTTTAGCTGGCCACTGTGCACGTCCAGTTGGATTCTCATTTACTGAAATTACATATTTTTCGTTTTTTCTCTTACGCGCGAATTTTGCTCACCGCAGATTGCGTACCGCAACTATTAACGAACCTGTTTGCTGTTGTCGTTCTAGTTACCACCAGACATGCGTGTCTCGTGTTTTCCCTCGGAATACTAACGTTGTTTTCATTCACGACAACGTTTTTGCTTTCTAAGGAAAATTGATTTTATCATTCTCTTGTCTTTCTTTTCGTTTGTGCGATCGAATGTGTGTATGACGAATATGATAGTAATCAACGTGCCTGACGATTGTCCGAGTTGACAGAGAAAAGAAGAAGCTTGATTCGGAAGAATGATTCTCTCAGGCTGTTAACATCTTTTATATTTAAAAAATATAACAAAATTTTAGTTAGATTGATTACACTCCTCGGAAGTATAATTTACGATATTTGTAAATAAATAAGCGAGGTGAGACGCGTTATACTTGTGATTGGAAATTCAATTTAACTCGTCTTCTTCGGTTCAAAGTTTAGTCAATCTTCTATCGTATGAAAATTTATTTACCGTTGCATAATTTTTAACAAAGAGAATTATTAACAAACGAATATAAATCGTTTTTCTTTGTACTAATAATAAACGTTACGTTTCTAAATATTTGTTTTCCATTAATCCTTTAAAATTCACCTCTGTTGCACAAGCCAGCAAACTATAATTTCTTATAGTTCGTTCTTAAAAAAATAGCACTTCATATAGAATAGAATAATAGTACTTCATATAGAGTAGAATAATAAAATGAAAATGTAATAAGAAGTAAGAAAATAGAATGACAAAATGAAAACAAGTCGTTCCCTTTTAAAACAGTTTCTTAAAATTCAGTTGAAGCTACGAAACGCTGAATAATTTTCAATACGTTGTACGGAGATCTTTTGAATTGACTGCATGCTTCAAAGATCTTTCCACTGAAATAAGTATAGTAAAACATAGATATGCTTGCCCACAAGTATCGGTAGACATGCGTCTGGAGTGCGTGCCACTTTTGTGATACACGCGGAAGATTTTCATCAATTAATCTTTCGAAAGTTAGTGAAATTACATGAAGAGCAAGTTCCATTGGATCATGCCGTTTCGACTGCATGATACTGTGATCGAACGGTCGATGGATCGTATAATATTTATCGATCTGTAATTTGAATAAAATCATTTCACGTTTCATTTAATTGAACTTCAGTGGAAAATTCTAATGGGTTTATCACGCTCGTCGTATGTTCAAGTCGAGCATTTCGCGAGAGTTGCAGAACGAAGTTCACACTTTCGAGGGTAGCCACTGTTAGAATTTTTATTGCGAAACGTGAAACCGAGAAAGTCGCTTGTTTGTGAGGAATAATCGGCCAACGGTACGAAATTCGATCGGTCGCGCGTTCTACCAGGCGATTCCCCGACGTCTGATCATTTAGGGGCGTCTTCTACTTACGAAAGTGGAAAGCCACGGTTGGCAACAATACGCCAATCCGATATATCTATTCGCTGTAACTTATTTATTTATTTAATTTTTTTTCGGAACTCTCTATTCATCGTTTTCGATTCTTTCTGACTATTTGACAAATTTTTTTTTAAACAATCTTAATTCGAATCTCTGGAACTCTCTATTCATCGTTTTCGATTCTTTTTGACTATTTGACAAAGTTTTTTTTTAAACAATCTTAATTCGAATAACGATACGAGGTTGGATACTTTGTACCCAGGTGCGAGTATACTTCTCTGACCTACATGTACGAACTGTGACCTAAATTTATTATTCACTGTCGAAAGTTTCGATTAATACGTATCGTTATACCTGCATGGTGAGTTTCGAACGATCTTAACTCAAATAGTGATATTTTTGAATAATTTGCGAGACACGCGAGATACACTTCCGGATACACGAACAACGACCTAAATTTAGCTTTTAAAATAATCCTATCTGCAATTTCAATTGATACGTATTTCGAGTTTTGAACGACACGTTTCGAATAATTTTCATCAGGTGCTTCGCGAATATATTTCTTTGACCCAGATAAGCAAGACATGACCTAAATTTATTTTTCAGAATGATACAGTCCGGTCTAAAATATCGATTGACGCAAATTTATACTGCGTACTTGCAGAATGAAAATAATTCAGATTGTCAAACAATAACTTCAAATCCACGTTCCGTATGTTGTCGGATGTCACAAATCTACTTGAATCAATCGAGACAAAAATTTACACGAACCGTTGCACGGTTGCACTAGTTTCATTAGTTGTCGTTCATTAAAGCGTTTAAACGTGATGTACACGATGCCCGCGGTTATTTCGCTTTCGCCCGCAATGCTGTTGCACGGGAGAATCCATCTTCCACTTGTTCTTGAATTTCTTATAACATGTATGGTACTTTCTTGGACACTAATCTCGAAGTTCGTAGCCTTCTTGAAAAATTTCGCACGAGCTACCTTGACAGATATTACTAGTGAACGGGAGATCGAGTTTTCTAATATTTTATAAATAATAGAATAACAAATTCTAATATTTTATAATAGTACTCTATAATCCTACAGTGTACCAAAGCATAGCTCTATAATCGTTGTATATTCTATAATTTTATAATATATTCAACTGTTATATAAATGTATAATTAGTTAGTCATTTCCTCTCTCATTTCATGCAACAGATCGAATTTTCCACAATATAATAAATTCTGTAACAGTGTTTTGTAATTTTACAACATACTCTAATATTCTACAATTTGGTAACTTTATCATATATTTATAATTTCCTCTGTCATTTCATGCAACAGATCGAATTTTCCACAATATAATAAATTCTGTAACGGTGTTTTGTAATTTTACAACATACTCTAATATTCTACAATTTGGTAACTTTATCATATATTTATAATTTCCTCTGTCATTTCATGCAACAGATCGAATTTTCCACAATATAATGAATTCTATAACGGTGTTTTGTAATTTTACAACATACTCTAATATTCTACAATTTGGTAACTTTATCATATATTTATAATTTCCTCTGTCATTTCATGCAACAGATCGAATTTTGCACAATATAATAAATTCTCTAACAGTGTTTTGTAATTTTACAACATACTCTAATATTCTACAATTTTGTAACTTTATCATATATTTATAATTTCCTCTGTCATTTCATGCAACAGATCGAATTTTCCACAATATAATGAATTCTGTAACGGTGTTTTGTAATTTTACAACATACTCTAATATTCTATAATTTTGTAACTTTATCATATCATTAGTTAGTAATTTCCTCTGCCATTTCATGCAACAGATCGAATTTTCCACAATATAATGAATTTTGTAACAGTGTTTTGTAATTTTACAACGTACTCTAATATTCTATAATTTGGTAACATTATCATATATTTAAATATATCCTACGATTCTACACAGATATACTCAAATATTGTACAATTCGATAATCGTATAATTCAATTAACGTTCGGAACTACGTGAAACCTACGTAACCGCTAAACTGTCTTGGAAATCTCGTCAAATTAGTGTCACATACACGAGCGGAAGATAGAGCGGATGGCAGGTGCGCGCGTCAGTCGGTGTCACCACTTTTTAGTTGATTTCGAACGGTATGACGAATGTAGGTCGAGATCGGGCGGTCACTCTCTAAACAATGGAAATAATGGAAATTCTTTTCGACACTTGGCCGTTTCGCTGCAGCGGTGGCTGCTCGTGCGATTCAATCGGCCATCGATCGAGAGAACAGAGAGAAAAAGAAGCGACCGGCGGGAGGGAGACTTACCTGTTGACCGACGAAAATGACGCCGCGTTCGCAAGTAAAAGTGTGGCCACTTCGGCTCGCTTCACACGTGACTCCACCTCTAGCGTATCCGACCTCGATACCGAGTGATCTCTAGCTTCTCGATGTGGAATCCAGCCTCTCGAGGACCCGAGTGTCGACGTCGATCAACCTTTTCTTCACCGGAGGAGTCGTGTCGATTCCAAATTCAAGATCAAACTCGTGTTTCTCCTCGTCTGACTGATGGCTCTCTGAACTTTTCTTTCTGAACTCGAAAGAGAGATCCGCGGATACAGAACTGCTCGAAACTTGGCACTTTGTTCACTTTTTCGCAGTCTGTTCACACAAGTTCCTCCTACTGTACTATATAGTGTCACACGTCAGTCACACGCGCTGTTGTCATTGCACGGCTCGCTCTAAGGGTGGCTGGTAACATTTGATCACGGTTTGATTCGCGCTTTTCTCTTCTCTTTCCTGCGTTTTTGCATCGGCACACGCGTCAGTGAGTAAGCGAGTGTGCGTGTTTTCGTGCATGTGTGCGTGTAGTGGGTGCGTGTGTGTGTATGTGTGTGGGTGTGTGAGTGTGTGCACGCATACGCGCGTGCGACACATATATAGAAATGTGGGTCCAACGGCCGATGCTGCGTGAATAGTCCGCGGCGGAGCGAACTAGCGGTTTAAGTATTGGTTAAGCAAGTGGGGTTCGGCCGAGCGGTGGCTAGGGTGGGGGTGTGTGGGCCTTAGGTGATCGCCTGAAAATCTTGTGCCACAGGGAGTCAAGGTCTTCTTTTCCTACCATGATCCGACGCGAGAGAAAGGGAAGCTGTCGCGTCTCGAGCCAGCTACACCCTTCGGCCAAGGTCGTTTGCCGATTTCAAACGCGCCCCGATACTATATAGTAAGTATAGCAACAGTTGCTTGCCTCTTGTTAGACATACAGTGTGTTTCCATTGCTCTCTTTAACTCTAGAATGGCAAAGGGTGAGATTCGTACTTTGGCGAACGCGACAGAATTCTACTGATTTTTCTGTGCACAAGCAGAAATTTGCTTCTACTTTTAAATATTGCAACGAGTAGTCCGCGAGTTTCGGTATTTTACATATTATTTTTATATACCGTGTGTACTTTTCGTTTTATATATTCGCGTGCATTTTCTGCAGCTTTGACCCTTTGAATTTTCACGGGTAATTTTTGAGAGCGTAAGAATCTGATTCAACGATTATGAATTATAACGTCAATTCAATGTAATACTTCGCAATGCAACCGGAAGTATCAATGGCTTTGAAATATTAGAAAACTACAATAAACGTCGCACGCCTCCTCTCAGTCTTTTACATAATTGTTTGAAGCTTGGAATTTTTAGTATCGATTCATCCACGCAATTCGTTCGATTCTCAATCTTTCTACGGATTTTATGAATTTTGCTTGAAGTTTTTTTTCACCTCACTATCGTTTTTTCTCCCCTCCATCGTGCGTTCTGTACCTATCGTTTTTCTTGTTCGCATTCCTCGCAATTATTTTCACACTTGCTTTTGCACATTTTTTCTCACACGTTACGAGAACGATCGGTGAGAGGATTTTTGCTCTTTCTAGCGTAACTTGTCCAACAGAAAGCGCGATATTTAAGAAGCGTAACGTATACATAGTAAGAAGTAGAACTGTAGTTGAACGTAGAAAAACTTTAATCGAGGAAAACGCGATTAGAGAGGCTACTCTGGCTGCCAATATCGTTGCTATTAACAAATTTTTCGTGAAAATTTTCTGGATAATTTTCAGTTTACATAGAAGCTCTTTTCACTTACTATGTCTGTATGTTGTGATACGTTAGAACCACGCGTTAAAATCACTATGACTAATCATTCGCGGTGCAAAATCCTTTAATTGTCCATCGAAATGACACAACTTACATTAACTTATGAGATGAGTAGCTTTCTCTTGGTCGTAGTACAGCAAATTAAGGTCAGTTTCTGTCAAACTTTTCGGAAATACCATCATCATCGTCATTTTTCAATCAGTCAGATTAATGTATCATGTATTTATATTTAGGCTGGAAGTTTGTGATTTCGATCGACCACGTTTGAGCTCGATATTGAACGTTGCGAAATACTTAGCGAAAATACTGATTGATAAATTTAATTAACCGCCTGCTAGCAATTTTAGCCGATATGCATATGAATTCGATATCTGTCGAAACCAGGTTGTAAACGTTAGCGTTATTATTTATGCTTGATAACGATGGTTATTTCTTTTTATTATTCCAACATCTAATTAGAGAAGTTGGAGAAGTTTAGACGCCAGAGCTGGGAATTTGGAGTAGACTTCTTCTTTTTTGAGATTTTTTTTTAAAGATTTATTTCAAATTTAAGCACTCGAAGATGCAGTTTAGAGACGTCGTTAATTATTTTTTTGTCTACGCGTAATTAATAACTGTCGTGCATCGCGTGACACGAGAGAAAGATCGTGCAGAGGTATCCTACGTCAATGGGTATTTTCAGCGGTCATCATTCGCTGAAACGACCGCTCGATTCGTAATTAAACGGTGACTTTGGGATTTCGAGGAACTGGCCGCACGAGTGAAGATTAGGGAGCTAGTTATTTTACGCAATTGCGTGAAACTGTGTCACGGACGCGGGCAAAGCAGCATTAACGGCCAGATGAAATTCGTTTGTGCACACATGGCGAACTTTGTCCACCTTTTTTGGAACCTGTTTCGACTTTGGACTTCTCTGTCCGCGCCGTGAAATTCACGTCGTGTTAATTCGTCGTTTCAAGAAAATATCCTCTTCGTACGATTGGGGAAACAATGTGTCGCAAGTACGAGAACGTAAGGATCAAAGTAGTATCATATGTCGTATCGACCACGGGAGGAATTCGACGAAATAATTTACGGGAGATAATTTGCGAGGTCGAATCTCGGCCTTCGTGCGAAATGAAACTTTCTTCCTCGTTTCAACCTCTTCGTCCGGATATAATAACCGAATAATATAACCGAATACTGTAGATCTTTCTACATTTGTAGAAAATTTGACATGTGCAGAAACATATGCGATATCCAATGTTATAATAATTAATAAACGAGATTTTCTGCCTAGATTCCAGTTCTTTAAACAAATTTCTGAAAACGCGGAGTTGTTATGAAATTTTATTATTTCGTAAATATGTGAAATATCCAATGTATAACAATTGCTACAACATTTTATTTCAATGGAGATTTTTCGAGGCAAGTTTTTCCAGTTCAGCGGCTTTTACTAATTTTTGGCTATTTCGTTACACTCTCTCTTTCGTTTCGTTTCGTTCCGGATGGCTTCAAATCGGTTCTTTCGATTTTCCACACTGAGAAGCATGAGATCTAGCATCTCTTTTTAATAAAAAAAAAAAAGAAACGCAGGACACTAAAAGCTGAAATTGGGAGGATTGTCGCTGAATTAAAAATTTACCATCTCCTGCTTAGGTCACATTTTTTTTTTCGAAACAGCCTTGTAAATATGTGGAATCGCATAAAATTTCGTTATTTCCTTTTCCTTTTGTTCCCCACTGTTACTTATTTCTCTGGAATTTCCGAGATGCTCGAATGATAAAGTTTCGTAAAAAGGATCATTAATTTTCTGTCTGCGACATTGTCGGACCATCCGCGTTGATAGTTGCTCGATGGAGACTCGCTCGAGCTTACACTTTGATCGCGTATTTAGATCAGTTTCGTTTGTTTAATTTCTAATTGTAACGTTATCATGTTGCAACTGAACGAATGACGTGGTGGAATAAGAACTACGTATCGTGGCGCTCATATGAGTCACGCTGCACTTTTCCTTTTTGACATTCCCAGTGTATGCAATAGGTATACGTTAAAATTGCACGTGTTCTGAATTTATGGTTAATATTATATCGTTAGCATTGTTATTGACATATTCCAAAGTTTAATTCGTTTTTTTTTTTTTGGTCTATACATTAAATGTAATCGCTTAACTCTTTGCTTTTCTGAATTTGATCGTATTCTATTTACATAGTGAATCACTCCATTAATCCATAATGTTGGAAATATTTAAATATCTTTCAATTTTATACACTCGTGGACTCTGAAATTTCAATTTTATACACTTGTAAACGATGAAAAAGTCCATTATAGAAATTCGTGGAATTTCATTTCTTAATTACAGATTCAGTAATGTAAAAAATGATTGAGAAAGATTGCAAATAAAATGTTGCATTTCATTGCCATTAACATATTGTCTGACAGATGACATTTAATTTTTATAAAAATACTATGTAATAATAAAAGTACGGGGAAAGCCCATTTATTTTTATTTCATAGTATTATCTAGTCATTTAAGTTATTTAAAATGTTCTGTCGATGATATTTACTTTGTTCTGATGGTCAATTAATTAAAATATTTATAAAACTGGAATGGTGATCAACGCGTTAATAGATTAAAAAAAGGACAATGTAAAATAACTCAATATATGACAGGGCAATTTAATTGAAACAGCAAGCGAAATTTAAAATTTGAAGTTTCATTGTAAATTAAATTGTTCATACATACATACGTACCTATATCTATTTTAATTGCCACAATCGAATTAACTATACGTTGTCCGTAGTCTTCGGACACAAGATTTCGTTACTTTTACGCCATGAGCTTTTATGCTCGCAGGAAATTCGAGAAGTTACAAAAGAAAATGAGGCTACTATGATTACACAATCATGGGAGATTCACGTTTTTATTTATGTACGAGTGACGAGGTCAACGCATGTAGATACTCATCATTGTAATTTAGTATCATCTGTGCGTAAAATATCGCAACTACATGAACGAGGTACGTGCAACTTCTAGTCTCGCGGTTGTATTATACTTTAAAACGAGAATTAATCAAGCCAAATAAAATAGTCCGTGATTTCACTACATTTAATTACTAAGAGTAAATAATTTATAACAAAATTGTCTGACACATACAAACAGTTTTATTCATCTGATACAAATTGTTAACTGTACGGAACAACGTGCTATTAATATATAATAATTAGCCGTAAATATTCAGATGAAGTGGAAGTGATGACAAAACATCGATGTGATCAGATTTATAATTGAGACTCTATTTAATCCGTATTATGTCTAATCGACATTGTATTTAATTGCACGCTTATTAAAAACCTTAGATCGTGTTCACGATGTTCGAATTAACAAGTAAGAATCTATTTTCTGTATGTACGATTATACGTCATGTTGTTGTACATATATCATCATCAATGTCCATGTGCTCTTCGTTACTTCATAATGATATGTGTGCTTGAAAAGTTAGGCAACTTTCGAAACATCGAGGAGCATAAGTATTAGTGAAAGAACCGAGGCGGTTCGTTACACGATTCACTGACATTACATGTCTTATGCGCGCGTCGAAGTCACCAGTTACTGAATGAAGAGGCTCGTGAGGTAAATATTTGCGACGCCCATAATAATTTCACGACAATGTCACCAGTGAATAATTTCTCACTTTGTGCTGTTGTTTAATTCTTGTATCTCAATGTATGTACAACATTTTTTTTTTAAATAATTACATCTCTTTGAACAAAAGAAATATTGACGATACAAGCATCAAACACGAAGGATTACGGTTGGGTGTAAAAGATTCTTAATAACTTGTAGAAGAATTTACGGGACTCGTGTCATTT